CTCTGTATGTGGAAGTAAGAGGCTCCACGCCCTCCACGCCCTCCACGCCCTCCACGCCTGCAGCTCCCCACCCGGACCACACTGGGTAGGGGAACACATGCATTTCCTGTCCCATCTCCGGAAACTGGCCTCTCAGACGTGTCACCTGTAGCCTGGAAGTGTCTCTCGCACACTCAGAAACCTGTTGCTTCCTCTAACGGAAGGTCTTAGCCCCAGGCAGGGTCGGGGGCTTCCTGGTCCCCTTTTTGCTTGCCATCCTATACTCGAGTGGAGCGCACCCCACCTCAGGACTCGCTCTCCAGATTCATCTCTCTGTTCACCCTGATCCCCCATCTTCCAGATTTATCTCAATGGGGGGAGGGTGTAGTGGCCTAGTATCTCAGGGATGGCGGGAGAGTGGATGGAGGTGTCGGATTAAGCCGCTGATGTCCTAGGACTTGGGATCTTGTGGGCGGAGTTTGAACTCAGCCCCTTCCCTGATCTTCAGTCTTCAGTATCTTCATCTGTAAAATGGGAACAATGTGCCTTCCTCTTAAGACCAAAGGGCTTTTGCAGAACTTGGGTAAGATAACAGTTTGTAAGGTGAGATCTATAAAAGTTAGTTCTGGGTCGTTCCTTGGTCTGACCCAACTTCATTCCACTGCGAAATTGGGAGGCATGTTAACTTCAATGGCAGGGATCCTTAGGAGCAGGTGACAGTCATGCGCTTGATGGGGGGGCGGGTGATCCAGATGCAGGGATTGACTGGAGGGAAGGGGCTTTTAGTTTGGGGTGTTTTTTTTGTCTGCTTTTTTGTTTGTTGTTTCCCTTTAGGTGACAGCTAAGCATGAGCCAGGCCAGGGCAGGGGTGTCCTTTATTCTCAAAGCCTCACGGTCACAAGTATTAGCAGAATAAAGAAATCACAAAGGGAGGATATTATTCAACCCTCTCGTCCCCTTCTCAAATCTCACAGCAGACACACCCTTAGAGGCCACAAGTAGCTTCCAGAAACTCATTTTAGGAACGAGAGCCTGAGGCCAAGAGCAGACAACCCGAGATCCCTAAGTTTTGGATGCCCACCACCTCACCTGCTCCATCACCATGCTGCCTTCCAGGACCTGCCCCTCTGCTCAGGGGACCTTGAACAAATGCCCACACTCCTCTGAGGGTCAGTTTCCCCATCTGTAAAATGGGAGTAATTAATACCTCCCTCCTAGGTCTGGGAGAGATGAAATGAGATGAAGTCTGTCCAGACCCACTAGGCACAGCTTAGGTCACCTCTAAGTGGTCATTAGGTGGAAGTCACTACCCCTGTCATTCTAAATGCTCCCATATCCCCAGCAATCCAGATTACAGACCTCCTGGTTTACTGTGTAGACCGAAGAAATACACACGCACCTTCCACCACATTTACATGAACTTTACCAGTTTGGTATCACACCAGCCCACGTGCATATTTGCACGTGTGTGCATTCCAGAGTATTTACCAAGCACCCTCCACGTGTCAGGTCCTGTGCTAGGCGCTGGGGCCGGGGATGACCCGGACCACTCCGGCCACTGAGTCTCACAGGGAAGACAAAGTATTTGTTTGCAGAGTTCTGCCTTCCAAGAGGTCTGATCGCTCACGTTTGGACGCCAAACGCTAGCATTCCGCTTCCCTTCTGGTTTCCGAACCAGGAGCGATGGTTGCAATCTTTTTTCTTTTCTTTCCGGGAGCCTCGCCTCCCACCACCAGCCCCGGACCGCCCTGCGGAAGGACGCCGCTTTCCTTGGCACCCGGGCTGAGACGCTGCCTGAATATGCGCAGGAACTCGGAGAAGGGAAAGGCGAGAACAGGAAAGAAAGGCCCGGGAGGAACCCGGGAAGAAGTGGGAGGTCTGCGCCTTTGGAGCCCCGCGCCAGCCCGCCCCGGCCCGTTTGGCACCAGCTCCTCCGGGGCCGCCAGGCGGCTGAGCAAAGGCCGGCCTGACACTCACCCGGCCTTTTGTGGGAGGGAAACACAAAGGAGAGGGAAAAACACGTCTTCCGTTTTGACGGAGGAGGCCGACAGCTCCAGGACGCCTGGGCCAGCCAGGAACTCCCGGAGCCGGGCCCATTAGCCTCGGCAAGTGAGCACTCAATTTCGCGGGAAGGTGCTGAGGCCCAGCTGCGCGCGCGGGTGGGAACCGCGGTGCCCGGGACACTCCCAGGACGCGCACACCAGGCGCAAGACCTGGACAAGTGCCGGGCCGCCTCGAGGACCCACAAGAGAGCAAGCGCCACTGGCCGAGCTCTAGTTTCTGATTATTCCTGGAGGGGGTAGGAGGACTCTCGGAGACAGAGTGAGAAGTGTTCAGCAAACTACTTGCCCAAGGGCTAAAGAAGCCCAGGGGACACAGACCGCTCCCACCTCCCGAGCAACTCTCTGGCGACTGGAGGATGTTGGGGAAGGGTGCCCGGAGAAGGGGCCCGCAGCCTCGAGCTGCCAGCCCGAGCTCCGGAAGTGGGAAGTGAGGATCGCGAGGTGCCGCTGCACCGCCTCCGAACAGCCACCACTGCCTCGGCTCGGTGGCGCGGCGCTGGGGCCCGGAGCGTCCTTACGCGCGTCCACGCGGGAACCTGGCCAGTAAGCCAGCTCTCCTGCCTCCGGACTGTGCCTTCCCAGGCTCGGAACCCGCGCCATCCAGGAGGGCCCCCCCTCATCTTTGCCCCTGCTTCCGACTCCAGGCTTTGGAACAAGCGCGTAAAGAACCGCGCACTCTCGCGGACCGCGCAGGATGCAGGACGGCCGCCGGTGGCTAAAGCAACAAAAGGAACGGGGGCTCCAGGACACGTGCCGCCGGCTGGACTAACCTCAGCGGCTGCAACCCAGGCACGCACTCGTTGCGCCTGCTGGTGTTTATTAGATACACTGGCGTGCTCACAAGTCCACGCCCCGGTTGGTGGCCCAGAGCTCACAGCCCCACGAATGTCCTCACCGTCGGTGGCCGGGGAAGCCCAAGGAATGACCCGCAAATACCCGGGCTCTACCAGCTCCCCACCCCCGCTCCCTGCGTTCTTCTAAGTGCCAGATTCGCCTAACTGAACGGTGCTGGGTCATCCTCCGTGACCGGTGGACGATACATCTCCACGCTTCAGTTCTTCATGTTTTAAATACATATTTAACGGATGGCTGCAGAGCCAGCTGGGAAACGCGCGGGTTGAAAAATAATTCCCCAGAAGGCATGAGCTGGGGCTTGGGGGAGAGCCCGCCTGGCTTTCTAGTGGAGACGGGGCTGGAAGACTTATCCAGAAACTGGGAGCAATAATATGGGTTTCTTTTTGTATTTGTTTATTTTGTACCTTTCCTACTTGAAGGCGAATTGTTCGCTAGGTTTATTTGTTTGCCTTTTTTTTTTTTTCTTTTAAGCCGTACATGCAAGTTAAAAGTTCCCAAATAACGGAGGTAACCAGAGGCCGGTAACACTCTCTGGGAGAGAGGGCTGAGGCGCGTTTGTGTGTCTGTAGTATAAAGGGCTAGGGTCCTGGATCTGAAGAAACAAACCTCTGTACTTGAAATGTACGGGTGTGAGAAATTCAACTACTGAAAATGTCTGAGGTTAGGGAGATGGCGGCCGCCTCTACTCTAAAGGAACCACCAATGCTCTCATCTGCAGTACAGGCAGGGCTGCGCTGTAAAGAGTTGGCTTTTTTTTTTTTTTTTCCTGTAGGTTTGCTACAGACACAGTCTCTTGATTTTACCATCTGTAAAATGGGTGGAGGCGCCAGTACCACACGGAACTACCTCAATTAGGCGCTTCTCCAGATCGGGTTGAATTCCTCACGGTCAAGGAGTTCCGGGTTTGGGAGCTAGGCAGCGATGGGTAAAACGTGATCCACCGCGGCCGCAAGCGGTTGGATCTTTCTGTCTGGCCCACGGTGTGGAGAGGTCTTCGCCCAGGCTTGAGGCTTCTTTTTACAGACAAAACAGCTTTGTCCCCTATCCCATGGCGTGGTGACCACCACAAAGATGGTGCAGAAAATACCGTCACCTGGTTCCTGTGCTGTGAGGGGATGCTTAGCTCTGAGCTCGACTCTCCCCTTGTGTTAGCGTGGTTACTATGCGGAAATACCTCATCCCTGTGTCTACACCACCGTCAACTTTATGAAGAGTGTGATTCTTTTCAAAACACCGTTCTGGAGTCGGTCCCCTCTTTTCTTCCCCGCCTTTTTCCTCGCAAGGCCCTGCACCCAGCTGGGGGCGCTACTGGCCGCCGGCCGAGCTGCGGCAGCCGCCACCTCTTAGAGGCGCGCTTAGAGTGCGAGGAAAGGAGGAGGTTTGAGCTTGGTTATCTTGTACGTTTGCAGCTCAAAATGCCCAAGTGTTGATGAAACCCACGAGGTGGGAACAGGTGGCGAGAACACACACACACACACACACATACAGAGAGAGAGAGAGAGAGAGAGAGAGAGAGAGGGAGTAAGGGCGGAGACTCCAGCCCCAGCTCCTGGGTCGCCAGGGTTATCCGCGCGAATCCCCAAGATCGCAGCGCCTTGAGTGTCAGGTTAGTTTGTGTGCAGAGCCGCCATCCCGTCCCATCCCATCTCCCAGCCTGACTGTGTGTTCCTGTATTTTAATAGAAATTTGACCATGTTCCCTCCTCTCTCCCTCGGTCCCAACCGCTGCCCTCTGCACTTCCCCAGCGAGCCCGCCCTCGGCCTCCCCTTAGCCTCTCACACGCCCCCTCGGGGTCCTTGCTCCAGTCCCTCCCCAAGAATCTCCCGGCCGCGGGCGCCCATTGGCTGTGCGCGGGGAGGAGGCGTGTGCCCGGCCCGGCGAGTTTCATTGAGCGGAATTAGCCCCGATGACATCAGCTTCCCAGCCCCCCGGGCCGGCCCAGCTCATTGGCGCGGTGGCCCCTCCAAGACCTGCACTTTGTTCCCCGCCCCCGCCGCAGCCACCGCCGCCGTCGCCGCTGCCACCGGGCTATAAAAACCCTCTGAGCCGGGAAAGGTGCGGATGCTTATTATAGACCGACGCGACATCAGCGCCTCGGCCCGCTTCTCTGCTGCAGCTTTTGGGAAAGAGCTCCTCTAATTGCATCCACAGTAAGTGTCCCCGCCCCCCAGCAACTCCAGCCTACATCCCAGGGACAGACGCCCCTCACTTCGGCTGCGACCCGGGAAGCTCCGCTAAAGGGGACGCAGATCCCTCCCCTGCCCGCCTGTTCTCCCGAGCGGCTTCGCTGCTCTGACCCTTCCCGCTGTGACCGCAGCACACCTTTCGCCCAAGAGCGAGAAGTCGGGGCAAAGATAGGTTCTTCTGCCCAAGTCCCGGTCAGCTGGCGAGCCCCCGGCTGGCCCCGGAGGCAGCGCGTGGAATCTGGGCCCGGCGCGGGCGCTGAGTGCCGGCCGGTGAGCGTGTGTGTGCTGCGCGCTGTCGATGGAGATACGGTGGATGCGTTTGAGGAACCAAATAAATACTTCTCTATTTAGATCTCCACCTTCCCAAAGAAAAGCCCTCACTTGACACTCTTT